CCCGCCGCCAGCACGTGCCGGAAAGTGAGCTGCAAGCACAGGGCACCCCCGTGTCAGCCCGGGGCCCCGGAGGAGGAGGGGGAGGAGGGGGAGGAAGGGGAGGAAGGGGGGGAAGGCTCGGGGCCACAGGACTCACTGGAATGTCTCTCTCCGCCGCAGTGGAAGGGCTTTGGCCAGCAGGGAGCCTGGGAGGCTCTCGAAGCCCAGGGCATAGACAGGGATGTGAGCCAACTTCTTGGAAGGCATCTTCATCTGCCAGGTGTGGAGGTGTCAGGACAGGACAGGACACGGATGGGGACAGGGATGGAGATGGTGCAGGGACAGGGACCAGGCAGGGACAGGGATGGGACGGGAATGGGACAGGGACAGAGATGGGACTGAGACAGAGATGGGGTGGGGATCAGATAGGGATGGGGATGGGGCAGGGAAAGGGGTGAGATGGGGACAAGTATGGGATAAGGACGGGGCAAGAACAGGGATGAGGATGGGAGAGGAACAGGGACAGGGCAGGGACAGGGACATGGTGGCAGCAGCTGGAGCTGGTCCCTTACCTTCAGGCTGCAGGAGCTGCAGACAGACCTGGGGACACCGAGAGAGGCCAGTGAGCGGAGCCACCACTGGCACCCCCCCACACCCCCCCGCCCCACGGCATTTTTCCCCTCGGCAGGCTGCTGTACAGCTCCTTGCTCTGCAGAAACTTCTCCATCTCTGCCTTGACCAGCACCCTCCGCACGTTCATCATCTCCTCCACAGTGAGGGCCAGGCTCTCCACGGGGTGGCTGAATTCCTGTGGCGAGGGGGGATGTCAGTCCCCTCTGCCCCATGGCCATGGCATGGCCCCAAATATCCCTGTGCCAGGGGCAGAGCCTCCTGGCGTGGGGCAGGGGGCATCCTGGCAGGGGCAAAATGTTCCCAGTGCAGGGCAGCGTGTCCTGGCAAGGGCAGGGTATTCCATCATGGCCAGAGTGCCCCTGGCGCGGGCAGACTGTCTGGCACACAGCACATGGCACAGCGTGCCTCGAGCCCCACATCCCGTGGGAAGGGAGCAGGAAGGCCATGGGGACCCCCGGCCACCTTGTGCCCTGCTGCCGGCTGCTGGGTG